CCACCATTTTAAACCCTTGTCTGAGATATTGCTGATATTAATCTATAGAATAAGTTTTATAAAAATCTGCCAAGAATTGTACTTGTGAGAGCGCTAACAAGACCGGACGGACACCCAGTATTTCCATGTCCCCACAACGCATTACACCAGGGACAATTATGCATTTTGCGTCTCAATGTTTTAAACTATGGAACTGAATGTCAAAATAGAATAGACTAAAAAACATTTATAAAGAGAGTACAACACAATCTAAATTGCTTTTCTGAACTAAAACAAAAAGAGTATGAATTCAATTATTTCCGCAGTATAAATTCTTCCTATTACCAAGCTTACACTGTAAGACTTTTCACAACTCATCAATATAAAATGTTCCCATATATATCATACAATGCACCAAGTTCACATGTAGCACATCCATTCACAAATAATTTCTCCATATAAAATTTCCTATACAAGTAAACATGAAGCACATCAATTCACAATTAATTCTTCTGGAAAATAATCAATTATCCAATTCCTGAATTACAGTTGCTGATACAAATTTCTAGCTATATAATATCTAATCTCACACACATGAATTTTGATACAAGAGGATATTTCTAAAGGATACATTTTTTTGTACTTGTAGACTAGTTCTATTTTTTCTTAAATCTTTTGAATAATTTGACATCTACTGACCAACTTATAGTACACCTGATACTATAAATATGATAAAGGTTTAATTTAATTTTTCAACTTTTTGTTCTCTTCAAGATTTCATTGTTGGGAGAAATATTTAGAAATTTACCTGGCCTTATAAAACTTATCCACATTTTCTTTCTTTAAGACAGTCTTTCTAAATAATTTTACAAACCCTGAACACCCAGCTTCCAAAGAACCTATATATATATATCCATGTGCACATAAGATCCACCTGACAATATAAGATTGGGCTGTTGCCATTTAGATCTTGTATTATCTGTTTACACCACCTATTATTGTAACTACTTTACCTAACCAATAATCTAAATGTAAGCTAAAAACAAATCTGAACAAAACCCTACAGTCTTGACTCCTAGGAAAAGTCAATCACAAAATATATGTACCTAGGCTTTCATACAAATGATGGTTAAATATTTGTTGATCAGACCTATCAATGGTGAAAATTTTAAGCAACAAATGAGGATTTATTTATTTTCATGGCTACAAATTGTTGTGTAATGACGAAAAAAATATTTGATTTCATGGTTTTAACAAATTCTGCATTCAGGTCAATAGATTTGTACTTCATTGAACACTTAAAAGCTTTGTTTACCCATACACACAAAATCCTCTAATATTGGTACGAGGATAAAAAAAAATGAATCTACCGTCTCCTGGTTCCAATAGCAAAGAAAATGTTTTATTATAATATCTGTAGCGCTTTAAGTTTAAATACTTAGGTACATAATCAATTGGTTATAAATCATAAAATATTTTACAACTTTAAAACAACATGTCCCTGTCCAGAGTATTCATACTTTTATATATATGAGCAGAAAACAATGAGCACTTTGATTCTTGGATGGCTGTATTTGTGATTTTTGTCTTTGCATATATATATAACAATATTAATGTATAACAGATAAAGGTGAAATCTGTCTATTGTTATACTGTAAATTCAGATATATATAACAATATTAATGTATAACAGATAAAGGTGAGATCTGTCTATTGTTATACTGTAAATTCAGATATATATAACAATTTTAATGTTAACAGATAAAGGTCAAATCTGTCTATTGTTATACTGTAAATTCAGATATATATAACAATATTAATGTATAACAGATAAAGGTCAAATCTGTCTATTGTTATACTGTAAATTCAGATATATATAACAATATTAATGTATAACAGATAAAGGTCAAATCTGTCTATTGTTATACTGTAAATTCAGATATATCTGTCTATTGTTATACTGTAAATTCAGATATATTTGCAATGCTTTTATTACTGATAAAGTTGTGAGTTGATTAGCAACTCATTAAACCTACTCTCACATTTTTGTCAGTGGGCATCATAAATGCACAGAAATTGTTGAATTCCGTATATTGACCTATATTTATTTATATCCTTGCCCTTTGGTCTCTGGTCAATACTTGTCTTATTGGCAATCATACCACATCTTTTTATTTTTATAATATATTCAGAATCTACAGTACTTAAATCTCTGGTTTTGATCAATCCAGAAATTTATAAATAGAAAAAACTTCCACAACATTTTCAGAAATGCATGTACATACATGTAGACTGTCAATTTGAGGCTATAGAAAGAAAGATTATGTTTGCCGAATTAACAGAGCCAAACATCAGCTTTTGTTCAATAATATTCTCGCTTATCATTCATTTAATTATTGCCTTAATTTACCATATAACAGACTTTTTTTTTTAAAGTTTTACAGAATGTCATAACCAAGTAAATTCAGAAAGTAAGGTTTCAATAGACATAATGAGTAGATTCTCACAAAAACAAATAACTTCGTGGAATGTACAAAATGAATTAGTAAGACAGTCTTTTAGGATCAGGCTAATTATTAGAAGGAAAGTAATATAGACATTGTGTCAGGGTAATGAATGGTCATATGTTACTCTGTGTTAATTGACAGACAATAATTGCTGTGTAACACTATATTATTTATTGATTAATCTGATGGAAGATTTTTATAACATTTAGATTGTCACCCAATAATCAATAGCTATGTTGGGATGGTTTACATCTTGTTTTGGTGTAGCAGTAATTTGTATAAGGCCATTGGCTTAAAATCAAGAACTGAAGATATTCTTTTCATATTAACAGTTAAAAGTGATTTTTGTAACCTTATAAGTTTTTATCTGGCTTTGATTTTACTAGAGGTCCAAAAGACTAAGCATTTGATCCACTAACATATTGAATTGTAAATATATACATTGTATATATTTCAACATTGTTTATTTTGGGGAATTATAAGCTGTATTTGGGACTATATAAGAACCATCCTTTAAAAGGGTTTCAATGTCAGACAGTTTTGATTGGCACAAAACATTATAGTTTACATTTGTATGTCTGACAAGTCAAAATATGAAATAGATTTTTGAATGAAAAACAATAACCTGTAACAACAATAATACAAAAGTCCTTCACTTGGCAAAAATAAAACCTGGGTTAGAGACTTTCACGTCATTATGAACACTTGACAAAAATAAAACCTGGGTTAGAGACTTTCATGTCATTATGAACACTTGACAAAAATAAAACCTGGGTTAGAGACTTTCATGTCATTATGAACTTGCATCACTTCTGGAGTAAGACTTCTGTGTTACTGAACATATAACCCTTATTTCAATAGAAATACTGACCTTGAACCATGTTACATGTAATAATTTTTCATGATAAAAAATACTTTGAACTGTCAGGGGTCAGTTAAGTGAGCTTGTAAAGTTGCATCAATTCGCTAAAATGTCCATCATCTATGTATAATTTTTTCATGTATATGGTTTTAACGGAATAAAATCATAAAACATGAGACTAAATTACCTTGTCTTAATCTGGTACACAGGTTGATGTTTTTATTACTCAGTGATTACTCAACAGTCCCAAAAAGTATTTACATAACAGGACTTACTTGTGATTAAGTGTTGCCAGGTGTAATGGTGTGTAACATATGACTTATGTGTGACCATCAAGTGTTGCCAGGTGTAATGGTGTGTGTCACACGACTTACTTGTCTGGTGACCATTAAGTGTTGTCAAGTGTAATGCTGTTTATCACATGACTAACTTGTGACCATTAAGTGTTGTCAGGTGTAATGGTGTGTAACACATGATTTACTTGTGACCATTAAGTGTTACCAGGTGTAATGGTGTGTATCACATGACTTACTTGTAACCATTAAGTGTTGTCAGGTGTAAAGGTGTGTAACACATGACTTACTTGTGACCATTAAGCGCTACCAGGTATAATGGTATGTATCACATGACTAACTTGACCATTAAGTGTTGTCAGGTGTAATGGTGTGTGTCACATGACTTACTTGTGACCATTAAGTGTTGTCAGGTGTAATGGTATGTATCACATGACTTACTTGTGATCATTAAGTGTTGTCAGGTGTAATGGTGTGTAACACATGACTAACTTGTGACCATTAAGTGTTGTCAGGTGTAATGGTGTGTATCACATGACTTACTTGTGACCATTAACTGTTGCCAGGTGTAGTGGTGTGTATCACATGACTTACTTGTGACCATTAAGTGTTGTCAGTAGCAAGGGTCCGGAAATGGTACTCAGTAGTAAAGGTATGTATCACATGACTTACTTGTGACCATTAAGGGTTGCCAGGTGTAATGGTGTGTATCACATGACTTACTTGTGACCATTAAGTGTTGTCAGTAGTAGAGGTATGAATCATATGACTTACTTGTGACCATTAAGGGTTGCCAGGTGTAATGGTGTCTATCACATGACTTACCCGGTACTTGTGATCATTAAGTGTTGTCAGGTGTAATGGTGTGTATCACATGACTTACTTGTGACCATTAAGTGGTGTCAGGTGAAATGGTTTCACATGACTTACTTGTGACCATTAAGTGTTGTCAGGTGTAATGGTGTGTGTCACATGACTTACTTGTGACCATTAAGTGTTGTCAGGTGTTATGGTGTGTATCACATGACTTACTTGTGACCATTAAGCGTTGTCAGGTGTTATGGTGTGTATCACATGACTTACTTGTGACCATTAAGCGTTGTCAGGTGTAATGGTGTGTATAACATGACTTACTCAGGTTACTTGTGACCATTTATAAGTGTTGTCAGGTGTAATGGTGTGTATCACATGACTTACTCATGTTACTTGTGACCATTAAGCGTTGTCAGGTGTAATGGTGTGTATCACGAGACTTACTTGTGACCATTAAGTGTTGCCAGATGTAAAGGTGTGTATCACATTACTTATTTGTGACCATTAAGTGTTGTCAGGTGTAATGGTGTGTATCACATGACTTACTTGTGACCATTAAGTGTTGTCAGGTGTAATGGTGTGTATCCCTCCCTATCAACACAGTTGATATTTACTGATCCTTTCAAAAAACTGAAAAATAAAAAAAAGTATTAAAATTCCAGACATTCACACATGAAGAAATATAGATATAAGGTATACATTTGTAATATTTGTTCTGCATCAGGGAACATTACCCTAGTTTTATATCCCATCATAACTGCTGGGCCGTCGGCATCAGTGGCCAAAGAAACACAATTTTCAAGCGGATTCCTAAATTTGAAAACTCATCAACTAAACAATTTGCTATTGTGATAGCACAACCATCATTTAGATGAAGATTACATAGAACAGTTGTGATAGGTTCATCATTCTTGACATATCAGACACAAATTGACAGTCTTCTACCCCTATGTCTGTGCTTTCAGTTTCATCCAACATAATTGCATTATAAACAGATGATGCCTTAATATCATTGACAAGAACATCGGTCAGAGTTTTGGCAATACAAGACTGAATTTCAGTAATAATGTCCCAGCATCAATTTATATATATTTGCATTCCAGTCCGTTTTTCTTTTGTAAGTCTAAATGTAACAATTGGTTGACATGAGTCAGACTCTGCTTCGTTATCATCACATTGTATATCAGAGTCACTTTGGCAATGTGTAAATTTTTATTGATGATATCCATATGTTCAGTGCTCTCATTATATGTCTTGTCACTGCTGACAGCTGAATATTTGGGGTCCCTTCATGGTTCCAAACACTTGTAATTTTTTGGCACTTGAGGCAGACTTACATCCACAGCAACATACTTGCATATATACATGAAACCCCTGTTTCATCTACTTTATTTAGCCACCGATACTTTTCTTTCCATACAAAGAATGTCTTATCTGACACTGTGTGTCTTTGCTTTAATTCATTTGTATTTTTGATCATTAAAAGCAGAAATGACATTGTCGATGATTTCGTCTATTATGTCCCTCACAAATGGAGAGGTTGCTTTCTCCACTAAGGAATTGATAATGGGACTTGGGTACTTTAGTGGTTCTGCATGGCCGTCTGCTGACATATCTTTCAACAGGCTATAAGACTTTACTAGCAGTGTTTATTTTCTGCCTCTCTGACTCATGGTCTTGCAAGGTGTAAAACCACCAAATCATAGTACGTCACATTTGGTTGCATATGAAAAAGGGTCGAAAAAAAATATTCCCTTGAATTTGACAGTTGTAGGAAATCAATCCTGCATTTCATTGCAGTAAAACATTTCTGAGTCATAAACATATATCTTGGGTGTTTGAACATTGTTGAAAGCACCATTCTTTTTTTATTTTGGTGTTTCTATAAAATAATTTGAAAACTTGATGTTACATGTACATGTGTTACATGGTTACTAAAGCTTGTAAACATGAAAAAAGGGATGAAATTTGATTGGTTAACTTCTAGTGATGGTTATTATCTTATAAGCAATGACATGTGATGTGAAATTTTGTCTGTAGTACTGGACAGGATAAAACTTTACTCATGCCAAATGCAAGTATTTCTTTATTTGAAACAAAGAAAAATTCTGCACAATTTTTTTTAAAACTGCAAATTTAACAAATACTATTCATGCTAATAGGGAAAAAACAATGGTGGTATTACACTTTTAAAGAAAATTTGATAAACTTGTCCCTTTTGTCTACCAGAGATACAGATATCAGCAAGGGAAAAGCGGTTTAAAATTCAAACTGAACCCGTACAGCTACATTTACTTGATAAGTCTCTCTATTTTAAGAAAAAAAGTAGATTTCCTAAAATTACAAAAATAGATTTACATAGCAATTTATGTATAAGAGTAAATAATGCACATGATAGCAACTATATGTAGCATGACTAGACGGGTTGAGAACTCATAGTTTTGACATATAATTGGGTTTCCCTTTGCATGAATACAGTTTTTGAACGCTGCATTCGTCAAATAAATGGGTTTTTAATTTTTTTTGGGGTTTATCATGCAAACAGCAGCTTATCTGAAGGTTTGCATAAGACATCTGTAATGTATGAAGCATCCAGGTCTTTTATCTTCTGAAATAGACAGATATAGCTGGGATTAGCTGCTGCTGCAGGATTGTAATCCCTACGTATGTCTTACATTCTGCAACTTAAATAGCAGGCGGGACAAAAATCAACAACTTCAAATGTTTTTCTGAGTTGACACATCTTGCCATGCTAATCATTTTTGCAGTTTACACTTTTAACCTAATTCCCGTAGTTTTCATAGATATACGTGTAGTATACTAAATATTACTTTAAAATTACAATACTTGTATGCCTTGACAATTTTTTGTTTAAAAAATAAGCTCCAAGTTTCACATTGCTCAGTATAACAAGGTTCCACGATTAACCACAAGCCCTACGTCCCAGGCCAGTAAAATTTTCTCTAAAAGACGCCTCTCAAGCCTTTTTAAGTTTTAAGAAATTGTACAAGAGACTGATTTCCTGGGTTGTAATTCAAAAAGATTTTGTGAAAACTTTTACTTATTTCTGTGAGCATTGCCTAACCTAGGTAAACCAGGGTTTTCCCACCCAGGGTAATACTTTCAATCTTTGCTAACACTTTCTTACAACCTAAATGGGATCAGACATTTGAACAAATGAACAGTCAATACTTGTCTGACCAACAGCAAATTTCTTGAATGTCAGAGAATCCCCCTGGTCTGTTTGCCCTGATTCTTAATTCATTTTGTTGCCTTGTTGTATAACAATGTATAATGATAGAATATATTATTTGAATTGAGTACGTATTGCTTAAAGTTATTTTTGTGTTGAAAATTTTAAAAAGAGGGATTCTGATAAATGTAAATATGTTTTGCACATTGATTTTGTACAAAATGTAATATTTATATTGTGCTCCTACCAGATAATTATTTTTTTTGAGTTGCTCTGTAGTCTTCAGGAATACATAGTATTTCATATAAAACAACTGAAGACCAATTCATACAGTATGCATTGTTTTTACTCATTGAATGATTCGAGCTGACTAGTTAACTAAAAAAATGTTATTTTCATTATTAAACCACCAAAATAATAACATGTAATACAACAATCAATGAAGACACCATAATTATACCTTATCAGCATTCTAAATCACAATCAAGTTTTCAAAATTAATTCTTAATATAAAAAAAAATGTAACAATGAATCCAATCATAGCTCAAAAACAAGCAATTAATTTACAAATGTGAACTTGTTTTTTTTCCCAATAATTTAGACATGTTAGAGATAGATACATGTACATTTGTACATGTATATGTATTAGAATACAATATATACCAATTTTATCAAATAACTGCATCTGCACATGTTCAATGTATATAGAAACCTAATTATCATTATTTAAATATTGATATATATTTTTTTTAAATAGGGCGAATGGACCCAAGTTGAACATGTTATAAGGACAAATGAACCCCATACAAATGGTAAGGCATATTTTGTGAAGTGTCTTTGTATCTATTTAATAAATACTCAATACCAGTCGTCACGATAAACTTTTAAATCTACAGACCAGGAGCTCCATTTTAAGAAAATTTAAATTGGATTCTGTTGGCCTGTAGAGATTATTTTAACAAATTACAGACCTGAGAGCAATTTTACAGGCCTTGGCTGCTGTCAGTGCTGAGCTAGTCCAAATAATTATGACGTCTTGAAAGGCTATTTTATTTTTTTTTTCTGTGACACCTTACGTCATAGGAAGGTGTCACAGAAAAAAAATTAAAATAGCCTTTCAAGACGTCATAATTATATTTGGACTAGTGCTGAGCCTGTTGCTAAGAATGAAGACTGCAATACACCTTATTGCTATTCCCGGCTGACCCGAGAATCTGTCCCGCTTGAACTTTTGAAGTCATACAACAATCACTTTTCCATTGTGGCGTCAGATATTTTGTATTGTGACATCAAAATTTTACGGGAACCTGTGTGATGTCCAGTAATGGCGGACAAATAGCGATAAGGTGTATACTATGAGAACACTTAAGTAGTCTGGAGTTCCCATAATATTGAACATACTGCATTGGGACTCGACTAGTCAAGATATAAACCACCAAAATATTTTCAATATTAAGAAATTAATGTTGAGTAACACAGGATGTACAGTAAAATCTTGAGGAGGGGCAGTTTTTCACCTTGTAAAAACTTGACTGGCTGTACTTTGGCGTTTCTTGGAGGTAAGTTTAACAATAGCTTCAACATTTCCAGTTTTTGCTGCCTCAAGAAGATCCTGATCCTTGCTACTGATGACGCCTTTTATTTTTCCACCTATGCTACTCAAAGCCATTTTTCTACATCTTTTTTATCCACTTCCTGAATAATAACAGCAGCTCCATCTAGTTTCATTTTTGAATCGGCAAATTTGATTGGTTTAAAGGGTTACGTTTGTTAACTTAATATTGATTGGATATTTTCCTAAAACTAATCCAATGAAATCTTTGTGACGTAAACAATCGTTATTTTTAGTAATCAGATGTAAACAGTCGGAGTCGGAAATAAACAGCTGTATTTTGGGTTTGAAGAGAGCTGCTATATTAAATAAAAAAGAGACTAGGGAGATCAGAGATGACAAAACCATTGACAGTGGTAATTTTTTTAATTATTATTGCAATTCAATAGCTTCGTAATTATGACTATATTTTGTTCTTTTTATTGTTATTCCTGTACGTAAATAACCATTGAAGGTCAGTTCTGTGACCCACTTAATTTATTTGTAAACATATAAATTATATGTAATTTACAGTTATCTATGACTTGAAAATGTTAAAAATGTTCAGGGTTTTCTCTGCATACTCAACTTTTGATAATTAAGATGAATATTATATCTATGCATCGCGATATAAACGCGTTTTAGTGGTTACAACGTCAACAATGAGCAGAATTTGATGTGTTGCCAAATTTGGCAAAAATCACGCATCATCAGTTTTATTTTAGACTTCTCGTATTTCGACGCTGGCCTTAACTTTTGAGTCAGGACATAATTAAATAATTAACTCCCTTCAATCTCGTATACTACACCACTGACCAGAGACATTTTATTGTATTAAATATGACTACACTCATGAACATGTGATGAAACTATCATAATGTCACGTGGTAAAATACGTCAACCGTATCCATGTGCTTACTATTTAACTGTTAAACTTTCATTTAAGAAATAGAAATGGTCAGTAATGAAGCAATGCATTGAACATTGATGTTTTTTTTTTATTTTAATTTTGTATGTTTTAAAGTTTTTAAATCCAGCCAGATTTACACTTTTTAAAAATCATTTATGCTGCATTAAAAAACATGTCATTAAAACAAAAATTGAAAAATAAAATAAATTATATTTGACAAAACCCAAAAATGAATGAATATATTAATTAAGTTAATAATAAAAAAATAATAGGAAATATTAGTTTGTCTGAAAAATTGGGTATACTGTCTTACTAAATTAATCATCAAAAAAAGTTGTGATGTAAAGCATCTTGGTAAATGTGCAAAGCTTTGTTAATCTTGTCAATACATGATTTATTGTCGAGCCTTCGACTTTTGTCGAAAAAGCGAGACATAGCGATCCTACATTCCGTCGTCGGCGGCGGCGGCGTCCACAAATATTCACTCTGTGGTTAAAGTTTTTGAAATTTTAATAACTTTCTTAAACTATCCTGGATTTCTACCAAACTTGGACAGAAGCTTGTTTATGATCATAAGATTATATTCAAAAGTAAATTTTGTAAAAAGAAAATTCCATTTTTTCCGTATTTTACTTATAAGTGGACTTAGTTTTTCTGCCAGGAAACATTACATTCACTCTGTGGTTAAAGTTTTTGAAATTTTAATAACTTTCTTAAACTATCCTGGATTTCTACCAAACTTGGAAAGAAGCTTGTTTATGATCATAAGATAGTATCCAGAAGTAAATTTTGTAAAAAAAAATTCCATTTTTTCCGTATTTTACTTATAAATGGACTTAGTTTTTCTGCCAGTTAACATTACATTCACTCTGTGGTTAAAGTTTTTAAAATTTTAACAACTTTCTTAAACTATCCTGGATTTGTACCACACTTGGACAGAAGCTTGTTTATGATCAAAAGTTAGTATCTAGAAGGAAATTTTGATAAAATTTTGTTCCATTTTTTCCTTTTTTACTTATAAATGGACTTAGTTTTTCTTCTTTATTAGATTCATAAATTATCCTGGATTTTTACCAAACTTGGACAGAAGCTACTTACAATCAAAAGATAGTATAGAGAGGAATATTTTTAATAATTTTTTTCCTCATTTTTGTTGAGCCTGCGATTAACACCAAAAGTAGGCGAGACACTGGGTTCCGCGGAACCCTTACGAATTTTTTTTGTTATACGACTGCAAAAAATTTGCGATCTCTATGAAATTAAACCAAAAGGTCCAATACCACAAAAGGAAGGTTGGGATTAATGTTTTTGGGGATGATGGTCCCAACAGTTTAGGAATTAGGGGCCAAAACAAGCATTTTTCTAGTTTCAGGACAATTGGGTAGAAGTATTTTGATTGCTCTGAAATTGTACCGCAAGGTTCATTATCACAAGCAGTAAGTTGAGATTCATTTTGGGGGTAATTGCCCAAACCGATCAGGAATTAGGGGCCAAAAAGTGGCCAAAGCAAGCAATTTTCTAGTTTCCAGACAATAACTTGTGTTCAAGTGTATGGATCTCTCTGAAATTGTACTGCAAGGTTCCATATCATAAAGGGAATGCTTAGATTGATTTTGAGGGTTATTGCCTCAAAATTTTAGGAATTAGCATGATTAGGGGACAAAAAATGGGCAAAAAACAAGCATTTTTCTAGTTTCATGACAATAACTTGTGTGTAAGTATGGATCTTTCTGAAATTGTACTACAAGGTTCCATATCACAAAGGGAAAGCTGGAATTGAGTTTGGGGGTAATTGCCCAAAACATTTAGGAATAAGGGGCCAAAAATAAACATTTTTCTAGTTTCCAGACAATAACTTGTGTTCAAGTGTATGGATCTCTCTGAAATTGTACTACAAGGTACCATACCACAAAGGGAAGGCTTGGATTGATTTTGGGGGTAATTGCCTGAATATTTTAGGAATTAGGGGCCAAAAAGGGGCAAAAAACAAGCATTTTTTCCTAGTTTCAGGACAATAACTTGTGTGTAAGTGTATGGATCTTTATGAAATTCTGTTTCAGAAACCTATATTGTGTCAAATATTTAATCACAATCCAAATTCAGTGCTGTATCAAGCTTGAATGTTGTGTCTATACTTGCTCCAACTGTTCAGGGTTTGACCTCTGTGGTCATATCAAGCTGCGCCCAGCAAAGCATTTTATTTCCTGTGTACAAGCTTTGTATTAAGTAACATCAAGTTCCCAAAATATTCTATAGAACACCAAATAAAAAAATAATGGTGCTTTGAAACACCCAAGATATATGTTTATGACTCAGTAATATTTTACTGCAATGAAATGTAGGATAAATTTTCTACAACGGAATATTTTTTTAGACCCTTTTTAGTATGCAACCGGATGTGACGTACATGTACTATGATTTGGTGGTATTACACATAAAGAAGACTTTTTAATCGGATTTTTGAAGGAAAATTCAATTTTTCATTATTAATTAGATAATAATCTATTTTAGATATTCAATCACAATCCAAATTCAGAGCTGTTTTAAGCTTAAATGTTGTGTCCATACTTGCTCAACTGTTCAGGGTTCGACCTCTGCAGGAAAATCCGGTTTGCTGTCACTCAACAGCCTCTTGTTTGTTTAATAAACTGAATGTGATTTTTATACGACCGCAAAAATTTTTTGACGTTGGCGTCGTTGTCGTCCGAAGACACATTGGTTTTTGCACTATAACTTTAGTTTAAACAGGCTATTATTTCAACTTGGAATTATTTTTAATTATGGGATTTGCATAATTTCTTGTGCTTGAAATTTTTAATAAATTCCATGTTTATTTTGTATTTTAATGTTCTGTGCGCACAACACTATCTAAACATTATAATACAGAATAAACATGGAATTTATTAAAAATTTCAAACACAAGAAATTATGGAAATTCCATAATTAAAAATAATTCCAAGTTGAAATAATAGCCTGTTTTTAAGTGAATGGATCTCTATGAAATTTTACCATAAGGTTAAATACCACAAAAGGAAGGTTGGGATTGATTTTGGGGGTCATGGTACCAACAGTTAAGGAAAAAGGGGCCAATGGCAAAAATAAGCATTTTCTAGTTTCCAGACTATAACTTGTGGAACGGTGTATGGATCTCTCTGAATTATACCACAAGTTTCCATACCACAAAGGGATGGTTAGGATTTGCTTTGGGGGGTTATGGCTCAAACCGTTTAGGAATTAGGGGCAAAAAAAGCGGGAAAAACAAGGTTGTCCTGGTTAATGGACAAATTCTTTAGTACAAAACATAATTTAAACCCTACTGAAAATGAGTACGGGATTCCACTGGATTTCCAGTGAAATTACACTGGTATTCAGTGGAAAAAAATATTCCGATGGAATCCCATTAGAATTTCATCCAAAACATCTGGAATATTTTTCACACTGTAATTCCAATGGAAAATCAGTGAAATTTCCAATGAAACTTCCAATAAATTTCCAGTGGAATATTATTGTCTATATTTCAGTGGATTTTTGATTTAATGCAAATATTCCAGTGGAATTTTGGACTTAGAAATTTAAAGGAATATATACTTCTAATTCAAATTTTCAAATAATTAAGTGAATGATTATTATATAAAGGATTTAATTGTAACATATGATTTGCTGGCCTGATAAGAAATTAAATATTATAATCATGATAATATATGGGATGTAATGAATATTTCATAAACCTACATATATACATGTATATGAAACATTTTTTCAAAAAAGTTACATGGTTAAACGTAATATGAAATCACTTGCCTAGCAACAAATGAAAATAATCATTTGGTCTGAAAGACACCCCCACCCACCCCCCTCCATATAAAATAAGTAAAATGGTAGCTCCTCAGATGTAGGGTGAATATAATGCATCACCATATAGCCTATGAGTATGACACATTGAAAGGATACATTTTAACTATTAAGAAATAAAATTAAATGTGCAATAATATAAATAAATAAATGAATATTTTATATCAAATTGGGTTGAGAATAAGATTCTGTTTGATTTAACGAACAAAAACAATTAAGATTCTTTTTGAAAAATGTGCATGGCTCTTAAAAGGGCCGTTTTTAAACAGATCTGTTGCAGAAATTATCTTCAGTCTGTACGAATTGTTAGGATAACTCCGTTTTTTTCTTCAAGTGACCGTACTGGCAACTGCCCTGCACTACAGTCTACATGTATACAATAATATAATTATTTCTCCTTTGACTTCATCATGTTCATTAACTGTTACTGGTCTACTGTTCTTTTGAGAAAAATAAAGTGAACGGCTTTCATTTTCCACATTGTTCTATAAACTGTTTCGGTATCTTAACTTTGTCGGTATGATGAATTTTTCATCATTTTCATGTCCTGAACTCGGCACTGGAACTCGGGTCATATAAGTTAATCTATAGAAACATTTCACTTAATCCCCTCCA